CACACACACACGCACACACACACACATACACACACAGCCTCTTCCCAATATGCGTTTTTGCAATTTTCATATATGCAAAAACGCATGAAAATTATTGACGACGCGCACTGGGCGGACCCGTCCGATCATGCGTTTTTGCAGAGTTTCGTGCTACAATAAAATCACTCTAAATTCCGCTAGCTAGAAATCTTCTGTACATACTGGTCCACGAATTTCGGGAAGTTAATTATCCACGTTATACTTGGACAGGGAACATTCCCCAAAACCCAGGTTCCCAGCTTTCTCAGTTCCCGAGTTACCCAAATTCCAGCCAGAAAATTTCACGGGGCCGTACGTGGCAACCACGCATATTAAAGGGCTGAATTTGATAGACTGAAGTTGTAGTTAAGGTGGAAGCATTTCCTGAAAGTTTCAGCCTCCCAGCTTTCCTGGTTCCGGAGTTAGCCAGTTTTCCGTCAAAAATTTTCATGAGGCCATACGTGGTAACCACGCATAATGGGGAGATGGATTTGGTAAATTTAAGTTGAGTAGGGAACATTTCCTGAAAGTTCCACTTTCCCAGCTTCCCCGGCTCCGGAGTTAGCCATTTTCCCGCCAAAAATTTCCAGAAGCCGTACTTGGCCACCACGTATAACGGGGGCTGAATTTGGTAAATTTTAGTTGTAGATGAGTTGGGAACATTTTCTGAAAGTTTCAGCCTCCCAGCTTTCTTGGCACCAGAGCTAGCGATTTTCGCGCCAGGAATTCTCACGGGGCCGTACACGGGAACTACGGCCCCCCCCCCCCTCCCGGGCTGAATTTGAAATCTTTGAGTTCCACTTGGACTGGAAACATAATCCCAAAATTTCAGCTTTCTAGCTTTTCTGGTTCTCAAGTTAGCGATTTTCCAGCCGAAACTTTGAGGCGCTCGTATGCGAGGCCTAGACGTGCTTGAGGGTTGGTACCGCGGTCCTGTGGTGGCACTTGGCCGGCGAACCCACTCCCAAAATTTTGGCGCCAGAGCTTGCTTGGGTGCCGAGTTGAAATACCCGGACAGACGCAC